GGGGGTGTGGGGGTGCAGACCATGAGTTCTGGAGCTGGGCTCTCCTTGAAGGACTCAATAGATTATTGCTCAATCCCTGCATCCTCTAATTTGACAAAACAAACCTGGAGTCGTCATTGCAGCTTCTGCCTTCATAGGGAAGAAATATCCTTATGCAACATTAATTTATTTTCCGAGTGGTAGTTTTAATACTTACTGTAATGGGGTTCAGCACTGGTGATAAGGATGGTGAGAAAAAATTTCCAAAGGATGTTAGAGAATAGTTTGCCCTCCCTCATGTTAACTAGTGGGAACTATCCCAGAAGGAAAATCCTAGGTTTGGTAATCCTAGGTGGGGTAAGTTGAGCGGGGAGGAGGGAGGTGGAGACAGTATGATTTCAGAAATCCTTCCAGTAGTAGTCAACTCTTAAAAAGTCAGAGCTGGCTGAAGGATTAGGGATAGCTATTTGGGCATCAGCCATAAGAAAACTAGAAAATGTATAGAGCATAATTACTGACAATACATACAGCATTGCAAGAAGGAAGAGAAAAATCTCCATTTTATAAACATAAATATTAAGCCTCTCCCCTTCTCCCTCTCCCCCCCTAGCCCCCAGGCAGCTTATCTAAGGTCCTACAGAGAGTGAATGGGAAATGGAGCAGTGAAGCTGTTACTTCTGGAAGCTTGCTCTACAGCTCCTTTGGGAGAACTTGTTCCTCCACTTTCAGTTACAAGGAAACCCCCCCCCAATACTTTTTTCCCATTGACTTGACACTTCCTAAATGGGCTATTCGATCTGTGTTCTGCTTCTCGTAGGCCCCAGATGAGACCACGCTAAAGGAGTTGGCTGAGACACTGCGACAAAAGAGCATCGACCACATGCTATGGCTGGAGCAGCCAGAGAATGTCGCCACTTGCATTGCCCTCCGTCCCTACCCCAAGGAAGAAGTGAGTCAGTATTTGAAGAAGTTCCGATTGTTCAAATGACTGATGTTAGGACTTGCTTTAATATACTTGAGTGTCAGCTGGATCCAGAAACTGTATGCCATCTGTCCCTAAGCATCATGTACTCCTTCCAGTGGCAACTTGCTCTTCCCTTTAATTTACGACGATTTCTTGAGGGTCAGACACATGTTCACATTAAAATTGTTATTAGTAAGTACTTCCTCTTATTTTTAATTATTACTAAGTTCAGATGGAGAAAGTAGATGAGCAGCAGTATTGTTTATGGTCATTGCTCAAATAGAAGATTTGGTTAGACCCCTAACCAAAAAGGTCAAGGAAATGCCTTTCCATTTTTGTTAGGGATAACAGAGTTCATCTCATAACCCAGGTTTAAAACTTTGCCTCTGAATTTCTTATTCACATCCAGTTATTGTTGAATCTAAGATACCAACTTTAAGACACACCATTATTTTATGTGTTAAGAAAGATATACTGCCAGTTAAAGACATGCAATATAAGATGTATTTTAATTTTAAATGTTAAAATATACATATTTCTTAGATTTGATGAAATTTGTCAAATGCTACATCTATTTTCTTGTAGTTGCTGGTGCTACCACCCTGTATTAGGCTCTCACTTTGCTTGTCAGAGGGTCCCACAGGTCTGCTCACCTCTAATGGATCCTGGTTACAATCTAGCAAATGTTCTGCCACCAGGCTTATATAGGGTCACTGAGCACCCTGTTCAGTATAGGCTCCACCTTGCCCATGGAATAAAATCAGAACTCTTTAGCTTAGCCTTCTGGCCCTCCACATTTGTATTCCTACCTATCTTTTTAGGTGAGTCTTCTGTTCCTTTATCCAAACTTGATGTTGCTGCCCTCTAGCCTCTGGTCTGGGAGTTCAGTGTTCAAACTCTTCCTCTCCCTTTCCTGCCTCTGGGCTTTAAACTATTTCTGACTCAAGTGCTATATCTTCACAAGTCTTACCCATCCAAAAATGATAGTTACCTTCTCTGATTGTCTATAACACTATATAACATTTAAAGTATTTTTGCAAACATTTGGAAATATCTACTGAAATTGCTTGGCTATCTGTGAAGCAAAGTTTATAAAGGGTAATTTGTTCAACAGATATCTGCTGCATGTCTACTGTGGCAGGCTATATACTAAGAGCTGAGGATATAAAGATAAAAGTTTTTACTCTCAGGTAGCTAACAATCTAGTGAGAAGACAGATGTAAAAACAATAAAGTACAAGGTAATAGTGGTATACTTTTCTCCCCACATCCCCTAGATACCAAGACTACTGAGGTACTAGATATGATTTTTCTTTATAAGGATGGTCACTTGAAACTAGGAGAATGAATAGGGAGAATTAGTATAGTGCTGAGGGCAGAACCAACCCCAGGAAGTCAAGTGAACAGAGTTTCAAGAGGGAGAGAGTAATCAAGTGCAGCGTAGGTTTTCAGTAAATAAGAACCGAAAATATTTAGCAATTGGGAATCCATTGGTTAACTTGGTGAAAGCAGTTTAAATAGCACATGAGGGTGGGAATCAGACTGGAGTCTATAGAGACAATAAAGGAGAGAGAGGTAAGAGGTGGGGCCTGTTCTTTCAAGAAGCCTGAATGGGTGGAGAGGGTAATGATTGAATGGGGGTTGGAAAGATGAATGCTGGGTCCCATAGAAGGAATTTTCTTAGATACTTGAGCAAGTTGATGGGTGAAGAGAAGGAGGGTAAGAAAAGAAACTGAAGTTAGTAAATAGAATAACTGATAAAAAGTCCAGAAAAAAAGTGGAATGAGGTGGGCCAAGGCCATAGGGAAGGAGTGGCCTTGAAGAGAGAGTGAAACCTTTTTTGAGATGGGAGGAAAGGAAGTAGGGAAAGGTATGGATGCACATAAGAGGAAGCAAGCTGAAGTTGACTGAACCTGTTGACTTAATCTTACTCTATGAAGTAGGAAGCATACCGCCTTTCGTACCACCGAGCAAACTTTCTGACACTGTGTTACATGGCGTAGCATAGTGGTTAAGAGTTCAGACTCTGGTTGGTGTCAAATGGCCCAAGTCCAAATACTGCCTCTCAGCCATTCAAGCTGTGTGAGCTTGGGCAAGGCACTGCACTTCCCTGAGCTCCAGTACCTTCATCTGTAAAACAGGGATTTACAGGGGTATGATGTGGACTAAATGTGTTAGTTGGTACAAATCCCTTAGGACAGTGCCTTGGCACTTGGTGCTAGAACCTAAGCATAAAAGTATATTTGAAGACACAGCCCTCAAAGAGCTGCCTTCAAAGAGCTTTTGGTCAAGTCAGCCAGTTGTCTGCTTCCTTTTCTGCTAAGGAGTGATGCCATCCAAGAATCCTCAAACACTCCCCGCTGTTTCCATTCAAGACAATTAGGAAAATGTTTCCAAATGACACTGCACCCAAGAATAATTTTTTTAAAAGAATTTTGAATTCTGCAGTAAGACATAATGACAAAGCCACAGAGAGACAAAGCTACACAACTGGAAATTAAGAGCTCAGGCAAATCCCTAGAGCAGAGATATGAGCGCAAAAGCATAAACTGGGGAAAGGACAGGCACTCATGCTGACCCAGAGTGAGAGCAAGGTAGTAGCAGGGAAGTAGCAGATTTTCTTACTAGTATGGGCTAAGACCATTATCATTTGAACAAGATCAGTGTTTACCGAAGGGTGGTCCCTAAATCAGATCACATGAGTACTTGTTAGAAACACAGTACAAATTCTCCAGCCTTACCCTAGACCTGAATCAAAAACTCCGGTGTTACCTAGAAGCAGCCTCATCTCAGGAGGCAGCCAGCCTAAAAGGTGAAAAATAAACGTGTGTGATTTAGAGTCAACGCATTATGATAGTGTGTAATGTGCTTACAGGAAGGAGTCAAGATGGAGAGCAACAATCTGGCACTAAATACACTGTATCCGGCCTTGCGTACCAAGTTTACAAAAAACCCATATTCTTCAAAAGAACAAAATTGTGCTGCAAGCCCTTGAAGAGGTGATAAGTCCATGACAAGAATCTCCTATGCTTTATAAGTTTCTTATATATAAAAATGTTTTAAAATGAGCAGTGTGTCCATACGTGCTAGTCAAGCCTGACAATTTTATGATGCAGGTGGTCTTGTGTCCAGTTTACACAAACTGGCTTTGACTTGCTCAAGGTCAAAGTCAGTGGCAGGACCAGGATTGAAAACCAGTTTTTTTGTCAGTCCGGCCTTCCCTTAACCTCTCATAGTGGGTTACCTATTCGGTTCCCAGCCATGTAGATGCTAGAGGGTGGTTGTGAGTGGTTCAAGCACTGGGAAGCTGTGCTTCCCGTTGTACGTTGGTTAATTGATGCTCTGGATTACGAGTCCTCCTGTGACTGTGAGTCATATGACTCAATACCCTAGGGCCCAATTATCACTGGATGAGCTGACAAAATTGAGTTTCTGAACTTGTAAAGCTGAGGATCAATGTCTAGGTCATTGCTTCTCAAGGAGCTGACAGAAAGCAGAGCGCTTGTCTAGAGGTGGTTGTTAAAAGCACATTTTAGTGCTGTTTAATCTATATACATCTTCCCCAGATTCTGAGACGCCATCCTTGGGGTGTGTGCCGCGCTTCCTGGTTGAGAATCTTGGCGACAGTGAACCACTGTTACTGATGAAAAGGGGTTAGTGCAGAAAAATGGCTGAGAACCACTGTCCTTGGCTGCCAATGCCTCACTAGTTTTAGCCATCCTCCGAGGTCAAGTTTAGCAAGAAGAGGGGACTCATCTAAGTGTGGGGACCAGTAAAGACTTCTTGGAAAGGGCACAAGAGTATTAGCCTCGCATACTGCCTGGCAGAGTGGAAAGAAAAGGATTCCTCAACTGACTCCACTGTTCCGAAAGCAGCAACTTCAGACAAGCATGTGTACTTCCCACACTGCCTAGCAACAGCTCATCAGAAGATGGAAGAAACACCAAACCTTGGTCTAAAGTTCGTGTTCTACTCAGTACCTTAGGGCCTCTGAGAGGAAAACCTGATAAAACAGATACTCCATTCTGTTCTGAGACAAATATAAACGATTAGACCAGAGCCCAAATCCAGTACAGGAGAAAAATTCTTTGTCTGCAGAAGGATCAAGAGCCAGAGAAAAGTGAAAGCTTCTATGATCTGATCTAAGAAACCAAATTTCCTGCCTCACAAAAGGGATCCTGTCAATCATTTTATATTTTATACCTGCCCCACAAGGAACCCATTTTCCAAAATACTTTTAAGCTAAGGAATGACACTGCAGCTTCATGGAGCCCCCTTTTCCTTTCCTATTTAGATATGAAGGGACAGAATGCCTCTCCCAAATTTATAGGGGGACACCTTGCTGACCTCATGCCAAAGCTCACCCCCATCTAGGCCTCCAAAGGGCAGGCTCTGCCTGCCTCCAGGAGAAGGGGCCAGGTCCTCTCTCCTCAGTCCATAAGTTCTCATTCCTTTTCGAGGCCTGTTTTTAAAAGTTATTTCACATAAGAAAATTGCCTAAGGCCACACAACGAGACTCCGAATTCGTACTACATAATAGTACAGGATCATGAATCCAGAATTTAGAACTAGAAGACTTGGTTTCAAATCCCAATCCACTGACAGAAAGTATTTGTGTCATAACCTCTTAGAGTTTTTCTTTTTACAACTATCTCAAAGGGCTGCAGAGGGCACATGAATGGACCTAAAAGCACCTTACAGATTGTTCCAGTACCAGTTTATTTTTCCTGAACGTTTTAAATACTGTCATCAACTACAATAGAGTACTGTGTAAAATATTCTAGAATACTGTTAAACTCTATAAAAGCCTGTACATCAGGCTGGATAGAGCTAGTAATGGAAGAGACCTCAGCTAGTGGCTGGCTGGCAGTTTCCAAGTGAATCCCAAAGCCTATTTCATGTTCCTCCTTGAGCCCAAGGCTGATTTAACTCACTTCCCAGTCTACCAGCTAACATAATTATAATAAAATGTTTATGAACACTCAGGAATATTAATTAACAATTTAAAAAACCAGCTCTCTGGGCTCCTTCCCGGGTCCAGGCCTTTGCCTGTGCTGTTCCTCAGGCTTCTCTTCACTGGCTTCCTCGCCCTGCAGACCTCCCTTCAAATGCCAGTCCTTCCTCAGAGAAGCCTTCCTGGGCTAGCTCTCCCTCACACCACTTAACCCAGTTCTGATTATAACTATGTAAGTCCCCCGTGTGAATATAAGCTCTGGGAGGGGAGGGTCCATGTCTGTCTGGATCCTTCCATATCCCTACTTAACCTTGGAAAAGGACAATAAATGTATTAAATGAGTGAATGAGGCCTGAGCTTTGTGTTTCTTTAATCTTGTTAAGAGCTCTTGTGGCAATAAAAGTAAAATACATAAAGAAAACTAATTTAGCACTGGCAGAAAAAGTTCTGGATGGAGGAATGCTTCCTTTGGCAGTTTTCTCCAATCAAAGGAATTTATGGACTTAATTAACTCATCAAGATCTTTCTGAAATACAGGAATGGTCAGGGATCAAGCTTGCTCTGAACCATTCACTTTATTAAGTGGAACTGCTCCTCTGGGAAGATCAGCTAGTCAGCAAGGAAATCAGCAGCTTCCTGTGTAAACAGACAGTTGTCCTTTCTTTTTCTTTCATTGTCAGGACCCAGAAGACAGTTTCTGGGTACAGAGCCTATCCTAGGCAAAACCATAAAGATGAAGTTTCTCTGTATCAACCTCACTTTTTCCTCAATTGTTCTATTTGTTTTTCTAATTGGGCCTTCCCAACTACTTTAGGATAAATTTAAATCAGTGTTTAGCCTCATCTAAGAGAAGTATCATTCTTACCTTATCCCAGGTATGGGGGAAAAAATTTTGTTCCCCATAAATATGACTTCAGACAACAGCTACCAAATCTGTATGTACTTATGTGTAGGAACATGTGTGGGATATACACCCTCCCATCCTCTACTATTACACTTGCTTACCCTCCTTACCCAGGCCCTACTTAGCCAAGTATTAGTGGATTTAAGCTGCCTGAAAAATACATAAGTAAGAAATAGGGCCTAATATAAAATGCACTGTCAGATTGAAGGAGCCTTCTCAAGTAAGATCCGACATCTGCATAATAAATGCTAGTATATAAAAGCCAGTAACAGGGAGAGAAATGGTATCTTGTGCCTCTGAAGTGCTGCCTGGACCAGATCTCCTGAGTAACAAACAGCGGGACCAGAGAGATTAATCGTCAGACAAATGGTCAAAGTCAGAACTTCCTCAAGGCCCACTATCATGCCTTCACTTTGACCTCAAATTTCACTGAGCTGGTTCGTATTAGGGTGACTTCAAGGGTCTTTGGCTTCAGGAATCCTTTCTTTTATTACCCTTTAATTCCCCATTAGTCATTTTGCACTTTCGCAATCCCTGCAGGATGTAGGTTTCATTTTTTCCCTGTGAATGAAGAGGCAACCCATGAGGTTGTTAAACAAATTCTATTCAGTAGCTGGAAAAGTGCATTTCCTGTGGAATGACAGGAATTACATAGAAGCAAGCAATTTTATTTTCCTCAAATGTAGCAATAATTTCAATCTGTACATACATAAAACAAACAGTGCAATTATAAAACCTTGAAGGTGACATGCATATGTTAAGGTGCAGTTGGGATGAGGGAGGATGTTTAGCATCTCCGATTTTCCTTACCACTTTTTTTTCTAGTTCCTTATGCAAAAGCACTGAGTCAGGAAACTTCATCTGGAATGCTGAAGTTAAAGGTGAACTTCCTGAAGTCTGCAAGTCTAAATATCACAAACAGAACAGAAATGACATCCTAGAGCAGTTTGGTAGGGACTAGAGTAATATGGCTGGGCTTCCAAGCTGGGAATGAATGACATCGGGGATGCATTTTTCTGAAAAACTAAAAGAGATAATGTTTGTAACTGAGTGTCCTATTCCTCTTTCATTGTTGCTACCCATGTGAGCCCTTCCACCAATCTTTTGTTCCGGTATTATACTTTCTGAATAGATGCTGTTCAATGGAGTTATTTGTAACTAAGGGTGGTGAGATGCAGAAAGGAGGACCTGGGAAAATGGCTTCTTCCTTGATGTCTGAGTCCAAGCTCCTCTTCCATTGTGAGTTCTTATGGCCTTTTCTCTGCCACGGAAGCAGAGGTAGCTGGTGCGCAATGTCAGGTGTTGTCATCATTCACAGGCCCAGGAGTGCAGGTAAAGGCGAGTGATGGGGATCTACCTTTGCTTCTTCCACAATACCTTCCTCAAGCTTTCCTGGCCTTGCAGTGGAACTTCTAGAACTAGAAAGTCAGTTCACTGAGTCCTTGACTCAGAGGCCAGGATGAGACAAGATGTGGCAGAGTGACAAGACACAAAGGGAAAATATGGTACCAATTAGCCTCAGAGCAGAATAAATTTGTATTTGCACTGATGAAAATTCAAATTCCCAAAGTCAATCTAAAAAGAAGAAGATTTTCTTTGAATACTAATTTTTCTCTGTACAAGTAGCCTGTGCACTTCTGGTGACAATTCCTTACACTGCTCTCAAGGTAGATGGTCCCAGGGATACTCTAGGGCAGTGAGCTCTAGCGTGTCTGGAACGGCTCTTTCTGGCCGTTGGCATTTTGATTTGAATCCCAAAGTAAATCCATACATGGCATCACAGTTATTAAAATAATGAAATATTACTAGCCAGATGTAACTGCAATTCAATCAATGTTATATTTCACACACAAATATAGAAAAATCAAGAGTATGATAATAAAGCCATAAAATTAAACAGAAGGAAATTTCTACAAGAAATCAAATATATTTACAGTGAGATTTAAAGGGAAAAATAAGCTACTTGGATCATAAACTTAATTTTATTTTAAATAACTTTAGCTACTTCAGCTGTTAATACAATAAAAGCAGAAAGAACAGGCTGCCTTTTCCCAGATTTAACCAGAAAATTGTATCTACAATAATTGACAGAACTCACTTCTTGTCCTTCACCCATCTCATCAAAAATTATTGCATTCTCCCCAAACTGGTATTTTTTGGATTCCTCTGAAGATACTCGTTTCATCCTCACTCCTGGAGGCATCTTGGTTTAAATCCATCTTTTAAAAAAAGGAGAAGGGGTACAACGTGGAGGCAAAATATTCTCTTGAAGCCAACAGATAGAGTTGCTAGAAGAAGCTGATTGTACACACAAGCTGCCAGGGGCCGGGAAGGCTGCTGATGAGACACGCGATGGCCTTTGGTGGGCGGGCACGGGCCCTTCTTCCTGGCAGAGCTGGGGCTGGGCCAGCGGAGGCAGAGCTCTGTCTTCCCCTCACAACTTGTTGTTTTGGTTTTCCTCCAAAGGCCTTCATCCAGATAAGAAGCCAATGACTGATTACAAAAATAAGAATAATTAAATTTGGCTCAAGAAATAGATTGTCCAACTGTTCTGCCTTATTTTTCAATATCCAAGGCCTTTACAAAGAAACAAAAGCATCTCTCAATCTCCCAACAAAAGTGAACTCCTCTTTTTTTTTGCTCCAAATGCTACGACCTGAAGAATGGCTGCAGATTGAGATATCAAAAATCTCAGAAAAATATATAATATATTTGTATATCTCTGTATGTCTATTATTTAAATTTCACATTCCTTTAAAAGTGGTTATTCAGTCAGTAGCTGCTGAAGGAGGCTCTTCTGCTGGGCCTGGGGGGTCTGTGGTCCTGCCGTGGGTTTTTGAGTTCCCAGTGGACCAGGCTGGTTCAGGTAAGGGTCCCCGCCTACCAGATTCACTGTACACTGGACGTCAGCAAACACCTGAACCTGTTGCACCTGCTGGAACACAAATAAAAGATGTGTTTAGACAGAAGGGTCTGCCCCCCCGGCTTATGAGTGGGTACTACTTGAAGTGGAAACTCACTAGAGCATTCCTCTAGTCTGTAGTCACCACAGAGAAGAACTCTTCTGTCTTCTTGTCCTACAAAAAGAAAATCGCTGCACTCATTTTGCTCAGGGTTCTGGAAAGTTCACACTTTAAAAATAAAATAAAAATCGGAATGGTCAAGCCTCCTACAGGGTTGCCATCAATACCGAAAGTGAGCATTGTTGCTAATATTGCCAAGATTGGGAAAAGCCCAGTTTCAGAGACTGGGTATCCAGTGGTGGGTTAAAAAAAACACACATGTTATTTGGAAAACTGGTTTAAAAGCATTCTACGGATGACTTTAGTAGGATAAAAAAATTCTTTATGATGTTAGAAAATTAAGGATTTTAACCCAGTATTAGCAAAATAAAACCACCACAACTCAGTAACAGGACATCAGCATTAATGTCCTGAAGGTTTGCATAGTATCTAAATGTACTATTACATGGCTTCTTTATATATTGCCTTTAGAATTACAGCAAAATATTAGCAGAACAATTTTATATTTAACTTCTTTTTCCTGATAGACAATTCATTTAAACACATGAGTTAAAAATAACAGTAAACTAGCTGAGAACAGTGTGAATTTTCCCTTTAACTACTTTCAGTAATTATACAAGTATTCCTTTAAAATGTCTACAGTTGCATAGTTCTAGCATTTTCTATTGGGAAAACAAAACCAGAAGTTAGTCTTTACCAATCAGTATTATTAAAGTCATTTGTAGAACTGATAAAGGACAACATCCCACTGTGAATGTTCCAGACCAAGAATGGAGAGGCCTTCTCAGTTATCTAAGTGCATGTAAGTGTCTGAAGCTTTTGGCAAACTTGTGTCTTGTGTTTTAATAGGTTCCTGAAGTATTTTAGAGTAGTGGTTGATGCATTTTTTTTTTTTTTTTGGGGGGGGGGGCGTACATCACTAATTCATGCCAATTACACTCAGCTTTTCTGAAAATTTTTTTTATCCTAATTGAATAAAAGTTATTCTCCATTAACCTTCACTGGCCAAATGTGAAATGTCCCAACGATCCAACTGCTGTGTCAATCTAGGTTCTGGTCCTCTAGATCCAGTGACGCCTCCAGTCTACTCTCCTTCCGCTAAAGCAGACATCCCTGAGCCTTTTGGTGCCTGATGAATTAACTCTCTACCTAGGTTAGCACCATTTCCCTCCTTAGCCTCCTCTTTCCCATTTCCCGAATTTGTTTCTTGCCTCCACATGCTCCCATTGGTGGTTTTCTTCAGGGCTCTTTCTTGTGTATCTAAAATAGACCACCTCTCTGGCTGCCTCTGTGCGCCCCCACCTTCGTTCTCTGTAACTCCTCACTCCTAGTGCCCTTCTAGAGCTCACCCTGGCCTGCCTCTCCCCCATGTCCACAGTCTCCCTACTGGTGCTCCTGCTTCTCTAGCCTGTGTTCTTCTCCTGCCCTCTCCTGCCTTGCCTCCCTCAGCCCCAGGCTCCAGAGACAGCCCCCGCCTCCTCTCCCTGCTCTTTCCCTCACCCTTTTCTGTCTCTGAGTTTCTGCCCAACTCACTCCCCAGCTTCTGTTTGGCAAAGACAAAGACACCAGAGCAAAGAGAGATCTGATGATGGGCTACAACAGAAAGAAGACTCTGCCCCTGAAACTTACAATGAGCACAAACTATAGGGTTTTTAGGCGCTGATTTTTTTAAAAACAATTAACATATACTTTCATGTTTATATGTTTCAACTTATGAAATACTGGGGCAGAACATAAGATGTTTTTGTCCCCTAACACTTAAAAACATTTTTGATAAAGGCATGAAAAAACCAACTAGAAAGAAAATTGTTTCTTTAAAAAAATAATGCTTTTTAAAAAGATAGTCTATATTGAAATTTTAAAAAAATGGAAAAGAGTAAACCGAACTGTAACAAGTACACATCTCAGCCATTTTGAACCTGACAAGGAGGTCCCTCAGCCTGGGCCTCAAAGAACTTCTCACATCAATGCGGACTTCACAGCAGGCAGGCTTCAGGTTCCCCAGGTGAGGCGGTGGTGGGGGAGCCAAGTCCCAGCCGCTTAAGAGTTTCCAGAATAGCTTTTACTTCAAGTCAAATACTGTGCCAGGGCTCAGGAACTTTAAAACTTGACTTTCTGTTTTAATTAAACTGTTGAGCTGCCCAGTATAAGTCTCTGTAGGTGTGAGACTTTAAAAAACTTCTAGTGAATGAAGACTTCAGCTTCCCCATCACAAAACCCCCTCTCTTCAGCCCCACAGGACTCAGGTCCTATTTCCTAATGCTCCAGCTATGGACACAGCCTCCTAACTGACCTTTCTCCTCTGGAGCTGCTGCCCAGGCCCCTCCTTTCCCCTCCCCGTCTTCCCTTTCAGGGGTGAGGTTTCTTCCGCAGGACTGTACCCAAATCCTTAAGTTTAGCATTCAAGGGCCCCTGGAAGTTTGCCCCAATCTATTTGACCAATTTTAGTTCCTATGAATTCTATCACAAACCCTCTACTTTCCTTCAGTGAATTTGGTTCCCCAGGGCTATTCCTGCTAAGATATTCCTGCTTCCCTGCCTCTGTGCCCTCCACTTCCAACCCGCCCC